AGAAAAAGATACCTCAATGCACTACTCACCTTTTTTCCTTCATCAATTCTATGGTTAACCTCGTCCTTCATAAACCCACCTGCTGATAAATCTCCTCCCAAATATCTGAACACATTCACTTCTTCCATACTCTCTCCCTCCAATGTGATATCCAATTCTTTACCTAACTCGTTTGATACCCTCATCACCTTACTCTTATTTATGTTCGCTTTCAACCTTCTTATCTATGTTCACTTTCAATGTTTGCAACTTCTCTTTAGACTCTCCCATAGGCAGAGTATCATCACCAAAAAGTAGCTGTATCAAGCCCCATTTTGTATTTGATTCCCCATAATTTAATCCCACCCCTCTCTCCAACTTCTTTTACAACTCCATCTAGAAATATGTTAAACAACCATGGTGACATTACACATCCCTGTCTAAGGCCTACTTTTACTGGAAAATAATTGCTATTATTTAGTACAATATTTATTTTAATTTATCCTTCAATCTCTCTCTAAAATTATGAGACAAACCATAACACTGGCTAACAAAGAGTTCAATTACCATTTAAAATCAAATATTTCTAATTAATTTTAGGATATTGTATTAAAATGTGAACTTAATTTTGCTTCAACATGTACAGTTTGTGAAATTAAATCCCAGTGAATAATTTCACCAAGACACAGCCATTATGGAGAAAAGATATGAGGGGAAACCTGATTCTAATCACAAGTAAACAAACCTGAAAACTGTAATGCAAATATGTTTATATGATTATGGAAATATCTGTTATTATTGGTGTGTGTGTGTGTATGTATGTGTGTTTTTCATTTTCCTATGTGTGGGTTATGTGTATTGTTCCAGTCATGGTATTGAGGCTTTTTATTCTGTAAAAAAAGTATTGTTCCTATGATGGCTTGTTCTGCACCCTGTATTTTTTCCTCAGATTTCATATAAGAAATACTTCTGAATCAGGGAAGGTTCCAGAATTTCTATACAAGGATTGCTTTAGGGGTGACTATCTGGTTGGGAGGGAAAGCTAAAAGACTTGCTTTGAAGCAACTGCAAAAAGTGGCATCACCACTATTGACACACTGTTATTATTACTGTTATCATGTTCTTGCCACCAGGCTTGCTCACCGTCTTAACTATTACAAAGGTGGCACACAAGAGGGTTGGTACATTATAGGAAGTTGTATTTACGAGATAGTGTGTTGTACACATACACACACACCCTTCTGCTGGAGACAAATAGTACAAATTTATACAGGAATACCTTGCATAGTACATTTTTGAACAGTATAGGTTTTGATATAATACATTTTATAAACTTAATAATATAATTTTATTTACCACATATTATGGCAAACAAGACTATTTCCCTCTGTTCAACTTACATCATTGCTTACAGTTTCAAATTCATAAGTTTATTTAGGTATAAGTATGCATAAATACAATTGCACAAATTATCATACATTGTAAAGAGTTCTCCATGGGGGAAGTGGAACAGAATTCTTTCTCTGTAAGCCATGCGCCATGCGTGTCGTAAGAGGTGACTAAAATGCTGTGAGCAAGGGGCTAGTAACCCCTTCTCCTGAATAAATTACAAAATTAAAAAAAAAAAAAAAACTTTTTGTGTTTAAATTACCTAGGATAATCCCCCCAAAAAGTAAAAATTACTTATTTTCATTTGGTCCTTGATTTACATTGTTTGTCTTTGTGTACTGAACAGTTCTTTGTTTTCTTGTGTTTTGCAGTATTTTTACGTCTTTCATGTCACTCAATTTAGCTGCAATTGAACATCCGCAGGATACTATCACTCATATGAGTCGTGTACAATAAGTAAACTGGACCTGACTGGCTGTGTTCTCTTTCTAACTCACTGTCTTGATCCATGTAAAGTAGATGTGTCTATGTCTAGGATTGCATATTGATTTGTGATAGTTTTTCTTGATTTTTAAAAATGTTTTTAGACAAAACTGTACGACAGAAAAACAAAAATTGATGATTACTCTCCCGTAACACTGAGTGAACATAAAACATTTCATCATTACACAACTGAACACAACCAAAACAAACACATTAAAATAATACCTTAAACAGTACAGAATTACATACTACAGTATTTTTTTGACATGCCTTAACTGTACTATGCAAGGTATTCCTGTACTTGATACAGCTAATCATCAACCACAATAATGTGCATACTCAATTTTTACAATTAGTTATGTGGCAGATAATATATACTTGATACAGCTAATCATCATCCACAATAATGTGCATACTCAAGGTTTACAATTAGTTATGTGACATAGTAGATATTATTATACAGTACCATATTATTTTCCAACAAATTCAGCAACTCTATACAATCTGATTCAATATTTAATTTGTTTTAAATGTAAGACAGACCTGTTGCTTCATATTCAATAACTTGTTCATCTAGGGAAGGGTCCTCACGCCTGATTGCTGCCACACCTGCTACTCCATCAGGCTCATCCAGTGATACATAAATACACTGCAAGATATTAGTGTTATGGTCAATAATATATAAAACCTTGCATTATCTGAATAAACTAGTACATATCCTAGCAACTGAACTATGTTGTGTACTAGATCTAATAGCCTCAGTTAGTCATAAAGTGCAAATTATATCTAACATACCTGTGATCTATTCTAATAGTTATACCCTGGCAGTCGAGCCTCAGGCCAAGACTGCCACTGTAGAATCATCTAACACTGTTTTTTTTTTTTAATACACCGGCTGTCTCCCAACGAGGCAAGATGACTCAAAAAAGAAAAAACAAAGGTTTCTCTTTTTACATTTAGTAATTTATACAGGAGAAAGGATTACTAGACCCTTGTTCCCAGCATTTTAGTCGCCTCTTACAACACACATGGTTAATGGAGGAAGGATTCTTCTACTATGGGGTTTATTTTGAATTAATTCATCACAGCCTATACAGCCTCTCCTCACTTAGTGACGTACTCGTTTACCGATGACTTGGACTCTGACCAGTGTGCATACCTAAATACGGATATTGGAGCTAATTTCCTCTATTCTGTTTATTACAATATACAGTACACTATTAAGAGTAAGACGGAGAATAGGATAGCAGATGAACAAGGAGGCTTTAGGAAAGGTAGGGGGTGTGTGGACCAGGTGTTTACAGTGAAACATATAAGTGAACAGTATTTAGATAAGGCTAAAGAGGTCTTTGTGGCATTTATGGATTTGGAAAAGGCGTATGACAGGGTGGATAGGGGGGCAATGTGGCAAATGTTGCAGGTGTATGGTGTAGGAGGTAGGTTACTGAAAGCAGTGAAGAGTTTTTACGAGGATAGTGAGGCTCAAATTAGAGTATGTAGGAAAGAGGGAAATTATTTCCCAGTAAAGGTAGGCCTTAGACAAGGATGTGTGATGTCACCGTGGTTGTTTAATATATTTATAGATGGGGTTGTAAGAGAAGTAAATGCGAGGGTCTTGACAAGAGGCGTGGAGTTAAAAGATAAAGAATCACACATAAAGTGGGAGTTGTCACAGTTGCTCTTTGCTGATGACACTGTGCTCTTGGAAGATTCTGAAGAGAAGTTGCAGAGATTGGTGGATGAATTTGGTAGGGTGTGCAAAAGAAGAAAATTAAAAGTGAATACAGGAAAGAGTAAGGTTATGAGGATAACAAAAATATTAGGCGATGAAAGATTGGATATCAGATTGGAGGGAGAGAGTATGGAGGAGGTGAATGTATTCAGATATTTGGGAGTGGACGTGTCAGCAGATGGGTCTATGAAGGATGAGGTGAATCATAGAATTGATGAGGGGAAAAGGGTGAGTGGTGCACTTAGGAGTCTGTGGAGACGAAGAACTTTGTCCTTGGAGGCAAAGAGGGGAATGTATGAGAGTATAGTTTTACCAATGCTCTTATATGGGTGTGAAGCATGGGTGATGAATGTTGCAGCGAGGAGAAGGCTGGAGGCAGTGGAGATGTCATGTCTGAGGGCAATGTGTGGTGTGAATATAATGCAGAGAATTCGTAGTTTGGAAGTTAGGAGGAGGTGCGGGATTACCAAAACTGTTGTCCAGAGGGCTGAGGAAGGGTTGTTGAGGTGGTTCGGACATGTAGAGAGAATGGAGCGAAACAGAATGACTTCAAGAGTGTATCAGTCTGTAGTGGAAGGAAGGCGGGGTAGGGGTCGGCCTAGGAAAGGTTGGAGGGAGGGGGTAAAGGAGGTTTTGTGTGCGAGGGGCTTGGACTTCCAGCAGGCGTGCGTGAGCGTGTTTGATAGGAGTGAATGGAGACGAATGGTTTTTAATACTTGACGTGCTGTTGGAGTGTCAGTAAAGTAACATTTATGAAGGGGTTCAGGGAAACCGGCAGGCGGGACTTGAGTCCTGGAGATGGGAAGTACAGTGCCTGCACTCTGAAGGAGGGGTGTTAATGTTGCAGTTTAAAAACTGTAGTGTAAAGCACCCTTCTGGCAAGACAGTGATGGAGTGAATGATGGTGAAAGTTTTTCTTTTTCGGGCCACCCTGCCTTGGTGGGAATCGGCCAGTGTGATAATAATAATAAAATAAATAACAGTACACTACTGTATAAGCATTTAAAAATATACCAAAAATGTTATAAATGGTGCAAGGGTGACATTAAAGCAATATCAAAGATGGTTGACATAAACCCACTACCATTATATTATGCTCCTCGTTTAGCGATGAATTCGTTTATAGATGCGGTATTAGGAACGGAACTCCATCATTAAGTGAGGAGAGGATGTATTTAATGATGAGCAACACTGATGTATTTCATGATGAGTGACACTGATAGGAGCATAATTCCCTACAAAACTCTGTTTGTAGATATGAAGAGGAAAAAGTCTCAGTTGCCCATCACACTGTTCTTCACAAGGAAGCCTGCCACTACCCCTACCTCCTTACCTGAACCTCAACCTGTGGCAAAATCTGACTCTGTTGCTACAGGTCCACATCCCTTTATCTGAAATTCTGAAATTCGAAAAGTTCCGAAAACCGAAGTTTTTCCGTGGAGTGTGGAGCATCAGTCATCTCTACAAAACTCCAACGTTGCCACGTGGTGGCATGACCCAGCACTGACAGCCAGTGGTAGGCATCAGTTGTGTCTCAGGGCTTGCAGTGTTCACACGTGCATCTGCTGTTCGCTGATATTTTGTTTTTGCTTTTTATTTTGTGACTGTTTAATTTCACTGTGAAAATGTCAAAAAGAGCTGCAGATACCCCTATGGGTAACAGTGAGAAAAAGAAAAGGAAGCATCTGACATTATCAATAATGCAGAAAGTAGAGTTACTGCAGAAGCTTGATTGTGGTGTGCCAGTGTGGCATCTTACTGAAGAATATGGTGTTGGAACTACCACTGTTTATGATAACATTTGGAGAAGTCTTTAAAAATGCCATCCGTCAATTGTCTTGAGAATCATCTTGAGAATCATGTTCCTGGTCTATAATTATCCCATTATTTCATTTATCATTTGCAGTCTTTATCTATCCCATTTAGTGAAGGTATTCATACATTTTTGCTCCACTGTTAATGTTTGATTATAGGGTGCTGCCCTAGACCCCCACCTTCATTCTGAAATTTGAAACACTACTGGCCCCAAGGGTTTTCGATAAAGGGATGTGGACCTGTAACTCTGACTCTAGCGATGTTGGCAGTGATCCTGGCAGTGAAGAGTTAGAATCCACACACTAGACTCATCATGCTATGCTATGCATGGCTAACTATCATCACCATCATCATCATTGTCATCATCATCACAAGTCGTCAGAGTTCGTCTGCCTAACCTTACGAAAGGTGTTTTGTTTGTTCATTGTTATTAAACCATAGCATGTATATACAATATTTTACGATGTTTTCATGTGTTTTATGATTGTTCATGGTTCAATAGGTTAACCCTTTCAGGATCCAGAGGCCAAATTTCAAAGTGTACACCAGGGTCCAAGAATTTTCAAAAAATAATTTTGTTATTTTTTCTTATGAAATGGTATAGAATCTTTTTCTGAAGGTAATAAAACAAAAAGTAAAAAAATTTGGTGGAAAAAATGACGAAATTATGCTCTCGCGAATTTTGATGTGTCAGCAATATTTAAGCATCAGTGATTTTGCTGACTTTGACTCCCATTTTAGGCCAATTACATTATTCCAGTTGACCAAATTCTTAGCTATTTCTCTAGTATTACTTCTATTCTATCGACTGAGCACAAGAAATCACCAAGTCAACAATGCAGGCATTCCTGGTACTAAACTAACATTTCCTCTGTTCATTAGTTACATTTTCAGGCTTTACAAATGAATTCCATTTTGATTTTTTATTCACATAAATGAATTTTTATTCAAACCAAAAAACAGAAGATTTACTGTTATGCAATATTGTAATAATTGTATAAATAATATCACCACATTTGTCAACGTATATTAGACCCACCAGCTGGTGTGTATTAGACGTGTGAGGTCATTTGTTTACTCTTGAACATCAGCAAAAATTTAAAAATTCTGCTACTTTGAGCCCAGTTTCAAGCCATTTCCATTACTAAAACCAATAAAAATCATCACTATTTCTGTAACATATCTTCCATTCTATCAAATGAGACCAAGAAATCGAAAATACAACTATAAAAAACACACGAAAAAATGCAAAGTCGCTGTTTTAATCGAAAATTACGGTTTCAGTTTTTTCTCTCATTATACATTGTATGCTGCAGGATTTATTTTATGTGGTGCACACATACCATATAGATGTATTCTCTCATATCTAGGCCCAAATTTACCGCTCACAGCTTATCAGAGTGAGCTGAGCTCATGGCGTAGATCTACAGTTTGGATCCTCAACATATAGCCGTAGATCTACGGCATGGACCCTGAATGGGTTAAGGAAGCAGTACTGTTAGGCTAAGTAAATGCTATTATATTTCCCTACAATATATTTGTGCATCAAAACATTCGCGAATGCTACAGTACAGTATTATTATATTTCCCTACATCATATTTGCGTACCAAACATTCACAAATTTTCAAGATCTGTGAGGTTCTTGACCCCTAACCCTTGCGAAGAAGAGACGTACTTCAAGAATTTATTAAAGCTGGTCAAACAATACAAACTATTACACTGTCTCTCACTTAGATCTGCATCATTGAGACCATGTTGTTTCACCTAGATCTACATCAATAAGGCCAGTGTTGCTCACGTAAATCTACAGCTTAATTATAGTGCCCTCAAATGTGCTGTATCAGTAAATTCTGGCACAGATATGAGAGAATGGGTTGTCTGTGTGGTGGGTGTGCACAGAATAATGTGAAAACAAGTCCTGCCCTATGCAGTGCATGATGGGACCAGCAAACCTCTGCCTCTGTACTTGGGTTAAAATACCAAGTACAGAGTTTCTTGGTCAACTGTTAGATCAGAAAACACTAGTGAAAGGGAAGTGATTTTTGTAGGTTTCAGACATGAAGTGGTCTGAAGTAGGCATTGAAGAAGAGGAAACATTAAA